ATTTAAACTAATTTAACCAAATTTATAAATAGTTAGTGTTAGGATGAGGGTTATAGTTTAAATAGAGTTAGATTAGGGTTAGAGTTTTTTTATATTTCTATATTGCCCAGCTATACTAAAGAAGATTCCATAAATTAATAATACTGATCTAAGCGAGAATAATAACCTGATGTATAATGATAATCATGCTAAGGTTATTATCGCGAGAAATCATCACATGTTGATGTTTAAGGGATAATATTGTTGTGAGTAAAAAGGAATATGATATTTAAGGGTAAGTAGGGATTTTGAAACTTTGAGGGTTTTTTTCTTACGCGCCCTGACTTAAGACGGGACCTTACGAAAGGGGACCAAAAAAAAAAAAAAAAAAAAAAAAAAAAAAAAAAAAAAAAAAAAAGGAAAAGGGCAAAAAAAATTGAAAAAAAAGAAGAAAATTTTTAGGAAAGAAATTGAAAAGGAAGAAATCGGGAAGGTTAGAAATTGGGAAAGGAAGAAATTGATAAAGGAAAGAAATTGAAAAGGGGAAAAAAGAGAAAATTGAAAAAAAAAACAAAAAAAAATGTAAACTTTTCATCGTGGCACGTACTTGTCGATTCTCTTTAAGTTTCGCCACGTGATTTGCATAGTCGTGGATAATTAAATAAGGAGTAAAGTATAGCTAGTAAATAACGTATTCAGATGTAGTTTGTGAAATTAATGGGATGGGCCGCAGCGTGGCACTACAACCATAGTGTTTTCATAAATCAATAAAACTGATCCGAGCGAGAATAATAATAACGTAATTTTATAACTTGGTGACTGTCCGAGTGCCGCAAATAAAAAACCTGTAATTCTTGTTAGATGAAGAATTACAGGTTTCTCTTTGCGGCACTCTTTTGAACACTTTTTAATTTGCATTTTAATGTAAAAAAACATTAAGCTCAGATTCGATGTTAGCCTAGTACTGTAGTATATTTATTATAAGAATATCTAGTTACACGTGGCTTAAATATGAACTCATGTAATTAGTTACACCTAAATAAGAATAAAAACTTTATTCGTAACTGGTATTTTCACAGCTACTTTTGGTATTTTAACCATATTACGTATCATGATCGAATTTCTCTTATTGCTATTTATTTACCATTGTTATCCTGAAAATATATATACGTACAGTTCATAATTTATAACAATATATATAATATATATAATTTATAATTTAAAATAACATAAATAATATAAAAATATCAATAATGGGTATAAAAAATACTATTAAATCTCATGAATTTGATTTATAAAGCTTAAATATTCTTATCTCCCACATTTTTATTTTTCTCAACCAAATCACCTGCTGATTCCGGATCAAATTTATAAATGGGAAATTCCAATAACAAAGTACTTTTTATAATTTGTGGCAATGGTTCATATAATGGTGGTGGAAACGGAATTAAGCAACTTGTACGAGATAAATATTTAGAATATTTATCCCAATTCCCAGCTTTGAATTGTTTTATGTGAACTGGTCGTTCACTTAATGGCATTCCAGTTATGAATAGTAAAATCACTATAGAAAGATACAATGGTTAATTATTTAATAATTTGAATTTGAAAATGTGAAAAGATAAATAAGAGATACGTTTATATATATATATATATATAAATACATGCCAATTGTGACTAATGGAGAGAGTAAGGAAATAATTGCAGCTGCTGTATCGACGATATTAGAATGTAAACATAATAAATATATTCCGATCCTAGAATTGCAATAATAACCTTCTAGCAACATTTAAATAATAATTAAGAATACTGTATTTGAGAAATAAATAAAAGTGAAACATACCAAAGCTGTGCGATTAAAATCGGTTGTTTGTAAATTAAATTAGATAAAAAATTTGCTTTATCAATATAACATAAAAATAGAGACAATTACCGTAATTTCTCCAAAATAATTTGGATGCCTACTCCAAGCCCAAAGTCCAGCGTTTATAAATTCATCTTCAGATGATCGTTTGATACGAAATATCAACTAAATGACATCAGATATGTATATAATAATGATAAAAATAATAAGAATAATTAGCTGATAATGTTATGCTAAATATGAACATAAAAAAAAAATTCGGATAACCTTATGAATATCAGCAATAAACTCAATTAAAAATCCAATAACAAACAAAATCACACCCAAAATGTCAGTGACACTTCCAAAACCTGGATCCGCAAATTTGACAATTTTTTCCGAATTCATAAATGAAACCGGTACACTAACAGCCCAGACCCAGCTTATCTGAAGGAAAAAAAATCCAAAAAGTTTTAAAAAGTCGTGACGAATTTTATTAAAGCGAGAGTCCTTGTGATCAGATTTTAGCGTTCGGTATAGGCAAAATACTAATAATAATAATAATAATAAACGAAATTATTTAAAATATTATAATATGGTGGATGAATCAAAAATGAAACTTACATCCTATTCGAAGACCCCATATAATTTGAAATGTCGTAGCAATTATTTGACGAGTGTGATATGTCTGTATATAAGATACAATATATATTATTAATCATACAAATAATATGTATATTAAGCTATTATAAAATGCAAAAAGTAATATTCTATTTCTAAAACTTACTTCACTAAGGACTAAAGTTAAGACGGCAAGTAATGCTACATTTGACCCACCTATGATTTAGATTATCAGTTATACCATAATATATAAATTAATAAACGAAATCAAAATTTTTATCATTAAACAAACCGCCGATATCCGTAGCTATCAATTTATTTGAGAATTATTAACATTAAAAAAAAATAATAAAAATAAAAGAAATAAATAAAATCGAATGATTCAAATTAAGCCTCTTTTTCACGTACCAACATCCACTTGTAAGGCAAAGGTGATGAAAAACACTATTAATTGGTAGACAAATGTAATTATTATTGTTATGGGCAAATAACAATCACCTAATACGTGGACTGCCATGTTTATGGATATCTTGACTGACCAGAAATTTATCTGCTTATTTATATAGGCGCGATAAAATAATTTTCGAAATCCTGAAAACGGTAATAAAAGAACAATTGTTCAGAATTGGTAATAAAATAATAGCAAATATGGTGGAACATCTGACCAAGGCTGCCTGAATGTTCATTGATAGCGATAGTTGCCGTAAATAAATATTACCATTTCAATCCAAATAAAAGAAGCTAAAAATAATAACTATGAAATTTCGCAAATACTGTACTGCCATATCGATATAGTCCATAAAATGTTTATTTAAAACCATTAAATTTTTAAGATAGTAATTTGTCAGAGTCCGAAATTCGTTCAACTTGGCAAATTTAGTTACCTAAGCAAAAAATCCCCGGTATGGTTGAAAGTTTACTCGTGACATGTCAGGTAATACCATGAAAAGTTGCTTTTCATTGAATACAGACGTGGACTCATGCGTAACTAAGTAATAGTTATATCCTGGGCAGTTGGGTATAAGCGGGACTTTCAGCTCCGCTTATACACATAGTGACCAGGGTATAACTGATTTATGCACTGCGATCTTGATATAGTGACCAGTGTATAATATAAAATATCATCCTCTAAAGAAAAGATCACCTGGTTTGGAATTACTTTGCCACTAAGAGAAAACGCGTCATTAGACTTTAAGTCTATTACTACCGGACAGTTCCTGCAAAATCAGCGACAAATAACTAGTGTAAAATAACTAATTTCATTAGTGTATATAGAATTTGACGTTAATTGGTCATAATCCATCGCAAAATTTTGTTCCCGGTCAATGTCGCAGACATATGATGGTTTTTAATGTTCTTAAACAAGTTTTAAAGTATTGGTGGAACTATGTTTGATAGGATAATCTTAATTCCAGCCATTATTTTTTTTCTTAATTAAGTACGGTAGCCTTTATTCTCACAAAACTACACACAATCGTTTTGTGTAATTATCGTAACATATGATTATCAAAGTCATTTGAATATTTAAAACAAAAAAATCAATTTAAAAACAATATATACTGATTTAGAGCATTGTATTCTAAAACATTTGTCATCCCTGATGACTTTAAGTGACCTATACATAAGTCATTTGGTCATAACAAAGCTGTCGTCAGTAGAAATAAGGCAGATTGATATTTAAAATCAATACCTTAACTTTCACAGCTCATATCTCAATGGATTTTGAAGTTATCTTAATTATTAATAGTCAAAAGAAAGCTTACAATCTAAGCTTTCTTTTGAATATAAGTCATCAAGATAGCCTCAAAGTTCATCGAGATATGAGCTGTGAAAGTTAAGGTATTAATTTTTTTTAAAATGTCAATCTACCTTATTTCTATTGGCGGCAGCCTATATGATTAACGTTTAGTCATCGACAGGGCAGAAAATACCCATTCATTTCCTGACTTAGAGTGTTCTCAAGCACCTCACTCAATGGATCGGAAGTAAATCTTTAATTAGTCGGAAATTGAATAAATTAACCAAATGAGTTACCATTTCGATGAACAAATAAGTAAGACACAAATCACCTTTTTTCTTCAAAAATTTACCATTGATAAAGATCGCTTAGGGCGTTCTCAAGCACCTACCTCAATGAATTCAATAAAAAATCCAATTGATCTGTTTTATCAAACTAACCAATCAGATTTTTTATTGAATTCATTGAGATAGGTGCTTGAGAACGCCCTTAAGCATTACTTTTACATTTTTTACATATCAAACATAATAAACAATTAATTCTCAACAAATTTCTAACCGGTCTAAAAAGATAGCCACTTTATGTTCGAAGCTTTTCGATACATTAATATGAGCATAATAAATACAACAATCTTTTAACGTTTAACCAAACCATAATGAATATTATTATCCGATGTAACTAAAGTTGAAACTTTAACGGTTGATCGAAAAGAAATTTTTTTCATTAGGTTTTTTAGGTAGTATATCGAACATTACGAAAAACAGAAAAAGTATGCTCAAGCATTCAATTCTATAAATATCGTCAATTGATTTAAATTTAGACACTTGAGAACAGCTTTATGCAGGCCAATGCTTCAAGTGTCTTTTTTTGATACATTAAAATAATGAAATAATTTGAATCAAGAACGATATTTTTGAAGCATTTTTGAATATTTACTGTAAAATTGTGCAGTGATATCGATATAACCTGTTTTTTTTTTTCAGCCAATGAAATTTTCCAACCAATTAAAATTACTCCAAAATTTTTGGTTTAACCGAAAATTTTAAAATTTAGTGCGGCATAAATCAGCAACTAGTGTAAATATTTTTATCCGATCTCTGAATTTATTTTTTCTTTTGGTATATACAGTATCACATATCAAATGTTACAATACAAATGTTATATTATGCCATATGAAAGTTAAGCAAGATCGAAATGTGTGACAGGTTATGACTAATTGATATTTTCGGCACATATTAAATATATTTTATTATATGAACTTCGTTTGGTGACATTTAACGTTAAATTGGCAATATATAACAAATAAAAGTTCAAAGATTCGTTTTCGATTTTGAGATTTTCGTTCGTCAAAATTATCATATCGATATAATATTGAATATATTTTTTTTAATAGATAATTCATATTGATTCCAAAATAACATACGCTATTCATTGATTCATAAATGACTTCTCTTCTAAATGATTATTTGTATGTTATTTGTTGCCCTTAACGCTAATTGTTAATGCGAAAAATGTACACTTAAATATTACAGATTTAATATGCATTTGTTACAAACGCATCTTTTGTGGCTTCACACTTATTATATGTTTTGTATTTTAGCGTAATAACGCCCATCTGTGTATTATTTTAGTATATGTATGTGTGTTATTTCGAGTACGCACATGTGCGATATTTTGGGTTAAAGACTGATCATCTGATCTAAACATGCGCGTTATTTCTGGACGCGCATTGACATTATTTCGAGTTATTTTCGTTACGATTTTTGAAATAACATTATTACGCGAAAAAACCGTGTTTCTTAAATTTTTTTAAGTTTTAAAATTTGGTAACTTAAAAAAACTTTTAATGCGATTTAATGTTTAGGGTTAGTTTTAAGGGTTTTTGAGGGTGTAAACCATTTTACTGCACTACACCAATTAACTAGCGGTTTTTGAGATAATGTATGCATGGGTGTGAAACACCGTAAGTGTGGTTTAGTAATACATATGTATATATGTAAGGGAGGGTCGGGTATTCTGGAGCACCTAAGCTCTATTGCCAATTAAAATTTTATAAATTAGTATTTATATCTAAAATTCATTTAAACCAATTAATTTTATGCTTGGCTACAGTGTTGAAAATTCGGCACAAACATTTTGTGCAAGAAAATTTTTTTATACAGGAATGTTATTTTATTTTTTGTGCAATTGCACAGTAATTGTTAATTTTTGTGCAAAAAACAATACATGCACAACGAATTTTCAACACTGCTTGGCTATTCGCTAATGAAAAAAATTTAAGTATTACTACTAAAAAAAATTTGTTTATTGCAACTTTTTTGAAAACGATTTTTTAGACGTAATTTTATTAGGTGGGGTATTTCGGTATTTCGGCGCACTGCAAATATAGTAATATCTACATACTGCATAAACTTTATAATTGGCCATTTAATCAATAATAATTACTAAATGAAGCAGATTCTTAAGAGGCGCTGGGCGTGCCGAATACACTTTAATTTACTTTTAGTTTTTTTTTATTGACGTTGCTTGAATCTTGTGGCCAAGAGTTTCTAAGAGTTTTAATTAAAGTGATTTTAACACCATTCGATTCGTTTTGATAAGGCGAATTAAATGGTGTTAAAATCGGTCGTTTCTGGTTATTGTATTATGAGATACTTTAAAAAAAACTTCAGTGCGCCACATTAGGGATGTTAAGTGGTGCGTCTGGTCCGGTCCAGGTCCGTCCCAGGACTAGTTGAAAACTAGCTCACCCCTTGTCAAAAACAAGTCCTATAGTAGTCCTACCCTAGCGGTTTAATATAGATTTTATAATACTTTTTATTACAAACTTTACCATTATTGATCGAAAAGACGGCATTTAACTAATTTTAACTTAATTCACCAATTAGAGTCATTGATTTCCCAATTAGCGAATTTTATTTAAAGTACTACCATTCAGGGTGTATTGTTATTGATTCACATTTTACCGAATTTTATTTAATGTGTTAAAAATGCCACTATTCATTGCATGTGAGAGCTGGACTGGTTTTGAACCAGTACTGAACTAGTCCCTACTATCCCTAAAAAGTCTGGTCTGAACCCGGTCCAGTTCCCCGTGGACCATTTAACATCCCTACGCCACATTCCCTCCTGCGCCAGAATACCCGACTCTCCCTTTTATTTAATTATATATCATTGTATGCATACCGATAAAAATAAATCATAGGTCCGGGTTAATTTTATGTTACTCAACTATGCGGCGAAACGTGTCGGACAATAAATATGCATATCATATAAAATATAATGACGTTATATAATTAATTTAACGAATCCTGATTAAGAATTAACAATTACAATCAAAAATTCCTGTAAAAAATTCCTGTCGCTAGTTACATTACGCAGGATATATATTAATCATGACTTTTAAAAATTAAAACATTTAAGTAACAAATCATAATCTGATATGCAAAGCATTCTAATAATCGCGTTTTCGCGTTTCTACAAAAATATAAATATCTTAAATTTGGGATTTCGCTTTTTTTTCAATCTACGTGTTATTGTCAAACTTTCTAAAAATTTTGCTAAAATGTTGTCAAAATTCCATTCCTTAATTACTTTCCTCCTTATTTTCACCATTTACTCAACATTTTACTTGACCGTTGCTTCATTTCCTTTTGAAATTAAAAACCGTCATGGTAAAGTTTTATAGCCTCACCCTTAGATGTTTTTAAATGTTTTGATTCATTATACTTTTTATTGATTGAAAATTTTCTTGAATTATTAGAGTATGTTCCCTATTATGTTTATGCTAATTTATTTTTACTTTAGTGCATATTTTCTAAATATTGATGAATCTACTGTTCTTTTTTTTTTTTTTAAGAGAAAAAATTATTAAAAGGTCTTTATAAGATTGTATTATTTAAATTTCGTTTCTTGAATTAACCTTTATAATAACCTACAATATGTATATTTTACTTTATTGTGTTAACAGGTATATATAATTTAGTCTTATATATGATTTCTTTAATTTGTTTATAATCTAATTATATAACTTCTTTTATAAATCCTTCTATTAATTTACCAGAAAGTAAATATAAACCGGTTTTATTTATTACTATAGCACTTTATATTTCTTTTAAATTATGCTTTTAATTTATAAATGCTCTTTATTGAATTTATTAGCCTGTATGTATAGTATAAACTATAAACTTGATTTTATTTATTTATTTATTCTGAAAATTATGCTTATTTGTTATAATATAATAATGTTCTTTATTTACTAGTGTGTAAGTATAAGCTTAATTTATTTGTATTTTAGTTGTGTTTTAACCTAATAATATATATCTTTTTGTTGATTTATTAGACGGTAAATATAATCTTAATTTTAAATGATAAGGTAGAATGATTTTTTAACAAATTGAGATATTTCATTGAACAACGTAAACGTACGTACATAAGACAATTATTTTAAATTTGATTATTGGGTCATGAGATATCTTAATTTGTATTCTATTTCTCTCAGTATGAGGAATTGAATCTGATCACTAGATTTGATATAATCTCAGTTCGTCCTCCAATTTCAATTCAAATATATATATTGCCCTGTTTATTCATTCAAAAATTGTTGTTATACTGTTATTCCATAGCTAAATTTATTCTATAGAAATTTTTTAAAAAATTTATTCACTCAATAATATTTATTATTTTATCTTTGTTAAATACTTCTTTCTACCTTATCATTATTTTAATTATATATATTTACTTATAATTCTTATAATTTAATAATAACCTTTTTTTTTATTAGTCGGTAAGTACAGTATAACTTAATTTTAATTATATTTTATAATAATTGTGTAAATAATTTCGAAAATTTATAATTATACACTAGGTGTTTGAGATCCAAAACCAACTAATAACCTTCTCATGAGGGGTTGACTCTTTGCAATTAAATTTATATAGCTTAAAGTATTTTGATATCTCAACGTAATAATTTTTTTAAAACATGGCATTTTTAATATTACAGAAAATTCCACAAATAACTCTATAAATAAAAACTTTAAATATTTCTCTCGCCTAAGATATACTTCTTTTAGAGGCGGGTTTTAAGCTAGAAAAATAGTAATATATTATAAAAATTTAAGTATTAAAGTTTTTAATTAACTTACAAAAAGCTTAAAAGTAATGCTATATAAAAAACTCGAGTCTATCACAGATTTTTACAACTTAAAAATATTCGAAGCATAAAATAGTTTTTTTTTAAATATTAAAATATAATTTTTTAATATTAAAAAATATATACTATTTAGAACTTTTAACGGGTTTACTATTCTGCACCATAGATCCCTATTTTTCAAAAACGTACTAAGTAAACGGGATCGGGTATTCTAAGTAAAAATGCTCAGGACCCCGAAAACCTCGCGAGAACTGAAATTGGGACCTTATATCTAATATATATACATGATATTATAAAAAAAAAAATCTCTAAAACTGCAACCTAACCCTAAAAATATATTAACACCAACAACATCATACAGTAGGTGTACTATATAGTTATTGCATACGAAGTATGAATAACTGCCGTATTTTATGGACAATGATGATTGATTGGTAACCCAGCGGTACAGCTGGGTTACCGAACGATCAGAAGAGAGCATAAAATACAGCAGTTAGTGCATACGGAGCACGCAATAACGGTTTTATTTTATGCTTTACTATCTCAGATTTATGAAATAGATCAATTATTTTATCATTTAAAAATACCCTAAAATAATTGATTTATTTTATAAACTGATTATAGTAAAGTATTAAATAAAATATAATATCTGAAAATATTTGTTATTTTTATATTTTAGTTTTTTAAATCTAAATTCAACTTAAGTAAATTTTAAATCTGTTATTCTGTATTAACTTATAATATATATATATATGTATTATATTTTGCCTATAGCATAAAATACTTCAATAAAAAAATTCAAAGTTATATTTGTACTATACAAAAAATTAAAGAAGGTACAATAATTCAAAAAGTACAGTACTATACACTCTTTATATATTTATATTTTGCTATATAATTTAAACTGTATAGTACTATGTAACAATTAATAAAAAAAAGTATACGTAGTACATTATGAACTTTTTTAAGATACAGTTCGAAACTTCTCACCACAATACTAAATTTTTGAATATTTATCAAATTTTTATATATAAAAAAAAATTGTTTATTTTTATGAGTTTTTAAATCTAGTACAAAAGCCTAAATCCAATCTATTAATATAAATATATTGAGTTGTTTTTATTACTATTAGTGTTAATAAATAAATCTATTAATAGCGGAATACTAATAAATATAGAAATATTAACTATTCTCACTAGCGAGTAGAACTTTGATGATCCGATATAATCTTATCGTTATGGTTCCTTTGTTGCATTAAGGCAAAAATCAATATGATATAAAAAAAGACTGATATGAATTTAAATACTAGTTGTAAATTAATATTTTCAGTACGCCATATTAATTTCATATTGAACGATGATAGTGTTCATTTAAATTTGATAAATAAGAAATAGGTAATTAAAAATTACTTGGCAGAATTAATTACCCAAGGCTAGTATTATATAAAATTATATTACTGTATATTATATAAATTAATTATTTTCAGCAAAGTTCAATAGATTTCTAAAATCATCGTGAGTCCATGACCAAGCAGCGGTTTCATCAGGATAAGGTTCAGGTAATATACCATGTGAGACACCCATTACATTACCTGTTTTAGTATCTGGATTAAAAATTCTCACCCAAGGACCCCCACTTGAACATTGACCAACATCTATAGTAATGGCTCTATATGACTGGGGATTTGGAACATCCGGTGGCATATCAAATGAAAGTCCTTCATACTCACAAAGATGTTGTCCATCTTTGGCACAGTCCATATCACCATCTATCGGATAACCAAATACATTAACTGGGTAATTATCACGAGGTATATCGAGATCATAATCGAAAGCTCCTGTATCATCTTGTAATTTTTTTCCATCTGGGTAATCAAGCTTTATAAAGGCAAAATCGTACGTTATAGGATTTTCCGTAAACTCTACTAATATATAACCATCTTTAACCGTAACTTTTCCAACTGGTCCTTCTTGTCCATTGTTGTACCCAGGATAAAAATAAGCTTCAGAATTCCACGTCTGAGTGTTAAAATCATAAAGACAATGTGCAGCGGTCATTGCAATATTTCCATTATCAGTTCTAATTACAGAGGCGGTACAACAATCAGATGACCCGTCATTTTTTACAATGTCTAATTTTCCGACAGCATTTAAATTATTATCATCATCAAGAATTTTCGCTGTATTATTCGCTCCTATTTTTGATGGAGTTTTAAATGTTATACTCATAGGTATAGATGTTACTCTTTTACTCATAAGTTTAGAATATGCTGGAGACGCATAACTTGAATTCGTTATAGTTATTAATACAACAAATATACATAGTATATATTTCTTGTTCATTTTCGAAAAGATAACGTATTTTTAGAATATTGATTAGAATAATGAATATACCGATATATAGTGGAAAAAGTTAAGGAATGACTTATTTTCATCGCTTTATATGTCTTGAAAAAAGGTTGTTCATTACTCTCATTATTTCATTCTGTTGTATATCATTATATGGCATGTATTAAATTTAAAAAGAAGATAATACGAAACTTTGACTAGAACTATGCACAACTCCATTCAGTTTTTCTGGATTTTCCGCATTTGGGGATTTGCGATTATCAGCATCCTGATTTAGAAAAGGATAAGTGATTTGCTTTGATTAAAATAGTAGCGGTAGTGTAATTAAAAAATTAATAATCAATTATATATTAATATTAGCGTTAGGATTTTGTAACTTATCACCGTGACGATGTTCCATATGAGCAAAACTTTTTGATGGGAATGTTGTAGATACGTATTAGAACAGCTTCATAAGCAATTTACAACTAAGACCAATTAAATACATTGATGATTATTATTAGTCTCTCATCGGGGGTTACAACCGAAAAAAACAATTATGGGTTATCTGTTTCTCCGTACAGAATTCGAGAGTATCGGATAAAGCAACTTGTGCTACTATTCACTACTAACGTTACTATGATACGCCTTTGGAGGGCGGGGCGAAAAGAACCAGAATTCTCTGGAAAAAACCCCGCCGCTTCTGGTGTTATTATTCCAAAAATAAAGAAATCCTTAATGACTGTCGTCTTGACAGGCCATTTCTACTCATAGTTTGTGGCACTGTTGGGTGATTACTGGATTAAGAGCAGTGTTGTTATATGACCAGGTCATAACAGGTCATATTACTAAGTTCAATTAGTAAAGTCATATGACTAAGGTCATATGACCTCTCTAATTGAACTTAGTAATAACAGGGGAAATGTACCTAAAAATAGTAACACGTTACACAATTCATGAAAATCGTAATTTATACATTTTAAAGTACTTTTTCACGCGGCTTGTGTAGCGGTTTGTCTCTATGAAACATGACAAGTCTACTAAGTAAAATTAAAGCCTTCGTGCTATACTTTAACAATATCAGTTGAATCCCTTTGAATCCCACAACTTTTTATATGACCAGTTGCCCTACAAAAGTATATGTAGAAATAAGTAATTATGAAATACTGAACTACGAATGCTAGACATTGAGCAATAAAAACTGGAAAAAAGTTAAAGACAATGATCTAACAAGGGTAACATATATTGAAGTGTTAGTTTATAGGGCTTTTTTACTAGGCGCTTTATAAATAAAACTTCTAAAAGGCCAAAGCAATACAGCATATTATAATATGAACTAACTACATATATTTTGATCTTTTTTTTTTTTATTGCATACAATCTTGAAAATAGGTGAGAAACATATAGACGTATAGCATCATTTAATTTTTTCAATAGCATAAGTATTGCATTATTAGATATTACACATACTACGTATGTTTGGGTTCTGGGTTATTATCGTATATTTGATATAGAATTAGACGTAGCTTATTTATGTGTTTCTATAAATTATAACTGTTTGAAGTTAGATTATTAATTAAATAAACAAAAATAAAGATATATTGTTTATTTTGTAGCAAAATATTAGATACATATTCTGAAATTAAATTCATTATGTATTCAATTTTGCTTCACTTTTGAATTTTCTATTTTTTTGAAACTCATAAATTGATTGGCTGATTATCATGTGAAAATATATGAACTTCTGTGTAACATTGAATGTTTCCCCCTGTTCTTAGTAATATGACCTATTATGACCTGGTCATGTGCCAACACTAATTAAGAGAGCCCTAATTTCCCCCACTACTTCTGATTGGATGCAATAAATAGTCTCTGATTGGGCAAAACAATTACACCGCCGTTGAATAAAAAAAACATAATTAACGAATAATTGCAGCCAAAATTTTAATTGTTAAATTATTTTTCAAATTTCAAAGCTTCGCCACATTACTTTCATGAAAAATTGAACTTATAAAACTTTTCACGAAAAATATTTAAATCAAACTTTTTGCCAAATCACTTTTGTGAGAAAATTGAATTCAAACTTTTGCCAAATTACTTTCGTGAAAACAATTTATTGAACTTGTAAACTTTTTGAATACATTAAAAATTTCAAAACAAAACCAATAATGATTTAATTATGAACTTAAATTTTTAATTATATACATTAATTTATTGAGAATGTAACTTATATAAAATGTTTTTCTTATAGAATTGTTTTTCAGTATATAAAGTTAAGTATTTGGTGACTTTTTTTTTTTTACTTTGTTATAAAATTTATTTTAATTCATACAGTGGGGAAAATGCCAACAGTTAACAAATCTTAAAAAAATAAAAAAAAAGAGAAAATCAATACTTATTCTGTCTTATAATTTTTGTGTTTGGTGAAACTCTTAACTCATGATTTTTATTATTATCAGTAGCTTGAGAAACAAATTCTATTCATGCAATTCTTGCATGTTCCATTTGAATAACTGCTGAAGAGCTATTCGAAGATTGTAAATATTCTCTTCTTCTATACTTTTCTATTCTGCAGAAATTGCTTTAAGTTCTTCTTGCAATTTTGCAAATTGGAAGTTCAGAAAGATTGTGAGAAATTTGAAAATCAGAAAAATCTGATTCCACAGGCAGTAGTAGCTGATCATTCTCAATATCTTCTTCGTGTATATGGCTTTGTGCTAATACAGCAAACACATGTTTGCATGGTAATTGTCATGATTAAAAATCATAACAATTACAAATATAGAGAGCAGTATCAAGGCTATTTTCATTGCTTGTATGATCTCCTTTTCTGACTGAATACTCTATATCATTATTGGTTAAGGAGCATATTATCCAAAGATTGAGCTAGATATTATAAATATTATTGTTATCAATGTGTATAAACCCTGCAATTTCTCCAATATGTTGTTGGCACTGTTATTGATTCATTCTGCCAATTCTTAATTTACTCTAAAAAATGGAAAAATTTATATCATGAAATACAACTTCTATGAGAAGATGCACTTCACTATCAAGCTATCAACCTATTAGGATAGAATAGAAATTAAATAAAAAATTGGTTAACTTCATTAAAAATGCTAAATAATATTAATCAATAAAAAAAATAAAAGAATTAGACTTAAATATACCCTATAATAAAAACAAAATAAAAAATAAAAATAAAAAAAATAAAATAATTAGACTTAAATATATGCTATAATAAAAACAAAATAAAAAATAAAATTAAATAAAATTAAAATAATTAGACTTAAATATACACTATAATAAAAACAAAATAAAAAATAAAATAGATAAGCTATAAAGTATTTATTTAATCATAATAATTAATAATTAATTAAAATATTTCAAGCAATTAATAACCAAATAATTTTAATTAGTTCTAATCTCTACCTGATCACCCTCTTATATAGGTATACTTTAGTTTATAATAGAATGATTTAATTAAATCATTCATATTCATTATATCTCTAGCAATATCTTTTATACAGATTATCCACATCTTATACTTTAGCTTCCACTAATACTCAAAATAGTTTGCAAAATTATTTATTGTCTTATTATCTATTTCTCTTTACTGATTAATTACTCCTACTATTTGTGCTTAAGCTTCTGTATTAGACTATTCTTCTGTCTTTAGTAATCATTAAAGATTATCCCAAACAACTTCTTTTGTAGATCATTATTTGTGCCATGTTTATGATACAGTTTTCTATACCAAGATCATAGTATATAAAAATGATACAAAAATACAGAAAAACTTTCTTGAAATGCTTTTATTTTTTCTCTAGCATCATCAATCATAAAAATATCTGGTCTTCACCCTTTATTTTTATACTTTAAAAAATTAAACCACTTCTTTAATATCAATATTTGTTTAAACTAATTTATCAAAAACATTATCGGGTATCCACTTTCTACTAATAAATGCTATATAACAAATGTAAATAAATGATACCCATGATGATTTGTTCCATGTGTTCTATTTAAATATACTACTCTCACAAATTCTATTAATTGTTTCTACTCTTTAGTTTGAAATATAAATATAAATTTAATATTATCAAACTCATCATATCTTCTAAATACACAAGCCCTATCTTGCTATATTTTTGTCCATTTTATATGTAAAAAGGCTATACTCTTTATAAATTTCTTGTCACTTGGCTTGCAATATTAATGCAAAATCCTTGAGTGCTTCTTCTTTCATATTTCTAATTATTCTATTAGTATTGTGAAGGTTGAATAAATTTTTTTTGAACTTTCTAGAATAGATCTCACGTGTCTGTTTGTTTATTTAGCTTATTTTGTTTTTGTTAGGGTAATTGCTTGTTTGTTTT